GGGATAAAGGGAAAGAAAGAGTTCAAGAGAGATAGGACGGTAGGAGAAGGGTATTATTAAGGGAGAAAGGGGAAAAATGGGGGTGCTTTAATTGGGGAAACCATGATGGAGGGGCTAGAAAATGTGAGAGATAAATAATGCCTAGCTAGTTTTAAAAATCAGAGGGAACCACATTAGTCCAACAATCTAATGACAAATTATACATACCAGATCAAGAAATATATGTCTAGGTAAGGTTTATCTGAGAACAATTGGTCTTTGCACAAGATTTATGTACATGGCATATGGTAATTAAAAGTACCAGACTGGTGGAACTAACCTTCTTGGATGTTTAACAGACATACTTTGAGGTCTATACTAATTTGGTCAGAGGGACATAAAGGACAGTTTTGGCTCCTTGCCCTCCTAGGTGACTAGTTCCAGGGGACTATGAGCATCTCACAAAATGTCCTGTAACTGTGGTGAGTCACCTGTCCTCTTGATCAAGAAGGCCGTGGGACCCCACAAGATGGACTTAAACCAGTGTCCAGTCTACAAAGAGAAGGGTCAACACAGAGGAAACATTTCCTCCACGCTTCCAAGCGAAGCCAGCCATGATCGATCGAGCAGGACCTTTGACTTATCTTCACATAGACGGAACTGGTAAAAGAAAGGAGCCAGGGGCTCCTCCCAAGCCCATGTGACCCCTGAGGAACAGATCAGCAAACAACCTTAAGAGTAAAAATTAATTGGTTTATCTGGGCCAACTCTATGGCCTTAAACACCCAAAAGGAAAGTATAACCAAAGATTAAAGGGGCCAATATAATTTTTAAGAGTCCATATGTATAGCTAAAGGCTACATAACAAGCAACAATGCCAGACAGGAGATATCTTCTTTTGAGCTGTTGGCCAGGGTGGCCCAAGAGACTCTCAGATAGTAACCCTGCATAAAACTGGGAAAATGAACAGCAGACCCCAATCTTATCTAAAGGAATATTGACAACGGATTGCTCCTAGATGAGGAACAGCTGACCTTCCTAAAACAAAGACCTCTAGATAGGCTGACTAGATTCACCGGATGGACAAGTACTGGGGAACAACTAAGGGTGCCAACAACACAGCGGACAGTAGCAGGGAAGACAGAATAAAAGGGCTCTAGTGGGGGTGGGGGACTATGGGAGGGTGCCATCTGGGAAGTGGGTATATAGATGAATAAGATTGTTTGGGATGTTCTGTGTGATACACAAACAAAGAAATCAACAAATTTTAAAAAATGAGTCATATTTGAGGAGGAAGCATAACATTTTTCATCAGGTTAATTAGGAGAGGTGATAAACATTACCACTGAAATCTACCCAATGACTTTATATTCATACACTGGTGCCAAGGATTCAAGTGCAACCGACCATTACTAGTAAAAACCAGATACATACAGATTAGAGACTCATGCACCAACATCTAAGTGGTATTAGCAAAAACAATGAGTCTTTCTGTAAGAAACAGTAT